AAACTGACTGGTTGAAAACTTTAATCATCTCGTCCTTAAAGAAATCAAAACAGTGACAGCAGGAAGTCCCAGCCTCCCAAACGGAGGTTCCCCACTCACGAGCGCGTCCAGTCAATAACGAAATCACATAGGCGATGCGGGCACGATCCTCCGCATAAGTCTGTGGTTGCAGGGAAAAAGCTACCTCACACTGAGTCAAAAAGGCTCTACATTCCGTAGGCTCACCTGCATAACATGGAGGATTGTTCACACGAGGTTCGGGAAGAGAAGGACGACTCTGAACAACCGGTGATTCCTGGTGAGCATGAAGGAGGCGTGCAGACAAATCATTAACCTGTGCGGCCAAACATTCCACCGCATTTCTGGCAGCAGATAATTCCTCCTCGTGACGACCCAGCACAGCTCCTTGGATCTCTACAGCAGAAAAAAAAGATTCCTCCTTTGCTGGATCCATCGTGGTCGGATTATTCTGTCAGGGTTGATACAAAAGGATCCAAAAGCAAAGGAAGTTCAATGCAAAGTCTTTAATGTCCAACAAAAACAGCTTTAAGAATATCAGCTCAGAACTAGAACAGAAAAAGGTGCTCTCCAGAAAGACAGCTTCTCAGTGGATACTTTGTCGGGAGAGATTATGAAGAACAGAAAATACTCTCAGAGTAAATGGTCCTTGAAGCTGGCAGCAGAGCAGAGAGAACAACGAATGAATCTCACCGAAGCAGGTCACAGGAGACAGGAGACAACAAGGCGAATACTGCTATACAAGACAAGACATAGGTAAGACTCCTTTAAACTGACAAAATGAGAGAACGTACTCACACAATAATCCGACACAGAACAGAGAGAACAAACACTAGAAGTAGACTGAGTAATTAGACAAGACAAGACACAGGTGTGAGCGGACAGCAGCGAGAGCGCTGATACTGATGATCAACAGGTGAAGGCAGAGCGCAAACATGACAGTATGTGTGTGCGCTGGAGAGTGAGAGAAATGGGTGTGTAAATGAGTGTGTGTGGTGGTATGAGAGTGAGAAAGAGCAGATAAGTAACCCAGATCCTGACAGGATGGCTCTTCCTGGCCCTTGCATCAGTCTGCTGCTCCTCTGAGCAGTCTCTTATACAAAGAGTTGCTGGGGAAAAGCATTGGCAATCCAATGGCTCACTGCAAAAGCATGATCGATGTCTGTGGCAGATGCAATTTTGATGTGGGATTACCTGGTGTAAATATGTCTTGATGGAACCTGTTTGAGGTGTTGTGTAACAAGTGTGTCATATGTCTCCAAGTTCTCTTCCAAAATATGATACAGACAAACACCATTCAAACTGTTCGAGATCTTCTCAAAGAAATCTTTCCCGGCATCCACAACATAATTTCCCTGCAGAAGCAAGGAGTCTGCAGTTCCTTTTACCGTACTGTTCCTCCAATGCCATCGGGGGCACCTTTTCCGTGGGATGTTAGAAAATAATTCCATGTGGTCCTGCTGAAGCCCAGAGTGGGCAGTACTCCTTCGGATGAGACGTTAAACCGAGGTCTTGACTCTCTGTGGTCACAAAAAAATCCCAGGATGTCTTTCGAAAGAGTAGGGGTGTAACCCCGGCATCCTGGCCAAATTTGCCCAGTGGCCTCTGTCCATCATGGCCTCCTAATCATCCCCATATATATATACCAATTGGCTTCATCACTCTGTCTCCTCTCCACCAGTAAGCTGGTGTGTGGTGGGCGTTCTGGCGCAATATGGCTGCCGTCGCATCATCCAGGTGGATGCTGCACATTGGTGGTGGTTGAGGAGATTCCCCCTTCTATGTGAAGCGCTTTGAGTGTCCAGAAAAGCGCTATATAAATGTGATGAATTATTATTATTATTATTATTAGTACTTCAGAAATGAGGTAGAAGTTCTTCTTATTCTTATACTGCTAACTGGGGCCATCTGACCAGAAGTGCACAGTATAACTGATGGATATTTAGTCTGTAAATCTCTAAGGATAGGATCCATGTGAGTCCAGATTGCTGCTGCATCTTGTCTCTTAAGGTGATTATACACAGGGCAACTTTTTGAGCAATGTTGCTGGGCAATCTTGCCGAGCGATTGTTGCTTGGGCACTTTCCCATGGAAAATGGGCAATACATTTCTATCTGGATAATTTTGATCGGTCGTGGGCCCTGTGTCTCATCTGGTTGCCCGTTGACGGCAACATTGGCCAGCAACATTTCCCAAAAAGTTGCCCTGTGTATCATCACCTTTAGACCCTGACACTGAGCAAAATGCCCCCTTTTCACCCTTGGTGTAATACATTCCAGTATGAAGAGTTAACTGAGGTAAGTTCTGACCAAAATGTCAAGCCGGAATTTCAGTAGCATATTTACACTTCCAGGATTCTGGAAAATCAACATGTACTGTGTTCTCACTGCATGTTTTAATCAATTCTCTGTATGCTTTTGATTGTGAACCAGGCACACATGTGTTGTTGTCTCACTTCTAAGTTTCTCCTCATACAGATGAAGCAACTCTGAAAGACTCCCACTATGCAAGTTGAGTTTCATGTTGAAGTGGATCCCACTGGCTGTTTGGTCTTGAACTCGCTCCCACTGCCTCCATTAAACACAGATTCCACTTATCTCTGGAGCCAGAACTGTATGCTTGGTTTTGCACCGTAAACAGAGCGAAGAAGGCAGGCTTCAGTTGCTAGAGTGCAACAAACTAATTGAAAACTATCCTCCAGTTTGGTTGACTTTAGAGCACCCGATGACCTTAGAACCTGAAGCATCAAGTCTGCATTTTCATGATGACGACACAGACATGTACTTCTGTCGGATGCCTTAGGTGCTGTAACATAGAAGGGCCTCAGAGTACAGAAGGATGAGTAACTCAGCTTCATACTCCATCAACAGAAATAAGTCAAAGGGGGTCCTCAGGGTTAAAGCTGGCCAAAATATACCTGATTTATTTCGAATTTGAAAAATATCTGACAGAGTTGACATGAGTTGATGACAGATTTTGAAAGGCTGCTGTTAATGTATAAAATAATGCAATGTTCACTTTAGGTATTTTGTGATATTTTATTAAGCCATCCAATTAACCTCATAATCATATTTGTGCATTTTAAAACATTTTTGATACTGTGACCTCAACGGAGGACGAGTTCATTTGCATGGGCTTTCACAGTGTCTGTATTTTATAAAATTACATTACTATAAAATAATATAAATATATACAAAACTAAGGGTCTAAACATACACAAGTCTTTCATATCCAACTTTTAAAGCCCGAAATTTATTGTTTTTTTAAGGCAAATTGCAACATTTTGATGGGGGACATGTTTCTCCCTTCTCTCAAGAATCAGTGATACAGGTGGTTTGAGGATAAAAACAGATGTGGCAGATATGCATCTTAATTTATTTGCATCTTTATTTATTTGCATCTAAATACAACTCTGAACAAATAGGGGTGCAACTGGCAAGCAATGGAAATGCTGATGACCTTGCCCTGCCTGTTTGTGTCCTGTTGGAGCCCGTTCTGTTGAGGAAGGGTGAGGTGATATAATAAGGATATATATTTCTGGATGAACTGCAGCTTCTCTGGAATGACGAGCACAAATAAAAAATTAATAAATAAAATCATGGTAATAGCATGTTTTGGGGCATATACAGTAGCATGAGATATGACATGATATGATGAGACAAAGAGGAAATTATGTTAGCAAGATTAAGACTGAAAAACAAGGTTTAAATCTTTTGTGTGTCACATGAATGTGAAGTTTGTGGGATTTCAGAAAATAAGTTGTAAACGTATACTTTTAAAGGGACAAGAGTTAGGATCCAGATAAAAAAGCACTGTGGCAGTAATATGGATAGTATTATTAGGTAAGTATAACGCGAGTTACATGATAACTTTTATCAAGTAACTAAAGTAACACATTACTTTTAAATTTAGGCTCCTTTTTCAAATAAGAGGGAATAAGTGAAATTTGTGAAAAACAAACAAGCAAGCCCAGACCAGATGAGAAAAAGCAACGCAAGTAAATGTAAAGCATTACTTTCCATAAAAAGTTACTAAGTAATGTAATTACTTTTTAAAGGGAGTAACGCAATATTGTAAAGCATTAGGCAACTTTTAAAAGTAACTTTCCCCAACACTTTGCAGTGTTGTGGAAGCTGAAGTCAATCAATCAATCAATCTCGAAAAGAATTATCTCTATTAGGATGAATCTGTTTATTTGCATGAACCGCCTGAACGAAAATCAATTCAGATTAAAGGCGCCTTTGGCAGTAGGCTGGGCCTATTATGCATAAAATGTAATTAAACAAACATTCAAACATAATGCAGTGAAAAGGAATAACCTAGTAAATGTAAACAAGATAAAAACTTAATAAAGGCATTTAATTAAACGCACGCGCAACCAGTGTAATCATTTCACACAGGGTTCGATGAACAACTAATGAAGTAAATCATAAAAATAACGCAAGTAAATATGGAAAGCAAAGTGAATCGTCACATCTTCACTCAACCGGAAAGTTTGAGACGAACCGATTCACCACCAATGATTCGGATTTTCCAACGCTGCATCTATGCGCTGCATATGAGACGAGCGGAGACGAGACGCAAGAACAAACCGATTCACTCGAAACAGATTTACCGACCGTTTGGTATAGACTAGTAGTCAAAGTAGCCTACCTCAAAAACACCAGTGGAATATTACCTAATAATTACATTGGTACATGTCCAAAAACATGTTTAAACTATGGTCATTTTAGTGGAGATTATGGTCATAACATCTGGAGGATGCATGGTTGATTTTCTATTTCATTTCTTGTATAGGCCTATTACATGTTTATTTGATATAATAACTCAGACTGAGACTTTATTTATATTACCAATGCACAATTATCCAGTCATTTGCACGTGCAGACGTGCTATTTATTACATACTTACAAACGATGTAGATCCACCTCAGTCCAATAGGTGGCAGTATGTGGATATGTGATCTGCCACAAATGAACAGAAGAAGAACTCAAACCTGCCTCGAAGAAAAAGACACTGGAAGGATCATGGCGGAGGAGAAGAAAGATGCCCGATCAGGGAAAGCTCCTAGAAAAGAGTCTCAGCCTCTTATTATCGCCAAAACTCCAGCAGAGGAGCAGCGCTTGAAGTTGGAGAGATTGATGCGAAATCCCGTGAGTTACGCTTTACTGCTACATCAAACTAGCGGGTTTCCATGGAGTAGGAACGTTAATGATGCTACCGAACTGTTTGCATTGCACACCAAACAGTACTATGTTTTTATATTGTGTGTGTTTTTTTAAGGATAAACCTGCACCCATACCAGAGAGACCCAAGGACTGGAATCCACGCGCTCCACCAGAGTTTGTGCGGGATGTGATGGGTTTGTGCCGTTTGTTTACTCTCTCAGATCTAGCCATGGGAATCGTAAGACATGTAAAGATTCGAATCCCCTGAAAGACTCAGATGCCCTATTAATAATAGGACTATTAATGATTATTTTAGTACTTTTGAGTTAGAAATATTTATAGAAAAAATATACTTTTTGCGTGTAGTGCTCTCAGCAAATGTTTCCAATTGAGATAACTACAGGTTTCAGCAGGGCCGGTATAGCGCAAAATAAACTTTTAAACTTGATACAATTCTTGCAAAAAGTGTATTTACAAATACTCAATTATCGATCATAAATATATTATAAACGTGTGGTTGTGGTAACATCATTAATTTTCAATTACATAAATTCTTGACAATCATATAGCCTAGCCTAGATCTCACGAATTGTAAGGTCAGTATAGCGTACCACTTCTTGGGTCAGTCATACGTGGCTAAAGTAATAATAATTTGCAATTCCAGTTTAGTGAGTGAAATGAATTCGGGGACGATCTGAATGTTTCACAAGCGTGTTTAATTCAAGTGTTTTGATTCACTAAAAAAAAGAACCGCTCATAATAAGAATCATTCGGTCTTGAATCAGAAACCAGGTGTCTGTATGTTTCACTGTGGATTCCGTAGTGATGTTGCGGAGCCGCTGAATAACTAAGCTTCAAAAAGCACTTTCAGAGTAACGTTATTTGGGTAGTGCATTTTCAAAGTATTCTTTTTAAACCACTTGCACAATTTTTCCCCATATTGCCATTGGCTGCAACAACAGGTAGTCCATTCCCAAACTCATGCCATTGGTGCTCAGCTGTCTTCAGGATTTGTGACAGGCTAAAAAAAAAAAAAAAAAAAAAAAAAATCCTCAGCAGTTACTCATCCCCTGTCATTCAAAATTGAAGAGCTTGAGCTTCCGTTTACCAGAACTGATGTGTAAGTTGATGAATGTTTAAATGTAAATAAATGCATAAATTAAATCTGTTCATCATATAAAGCGATCGTATCTCTTTAAATTTGCTCTAAACCGCTCAATTCATATGGATTAGTTTTACAATCTCTTTATGAACTTTTTGAAGTTTCAAAGTGGTAGCTGGCAATGGAGGAACAGAAAGCTCTCAGATATTATTAAAATATCTTTATTTGTGTTTCGAAGATGAATGAAAGTCTTACGGGTTTGGAACGGGATGGTGAGTAAATGATGACGGAACTTTAATTTTTGGTTAAACTAACCCTTTAACAGTGAATGACCCAATATGTTTGTTTATCTAATTTGTAGGGATGGGCATTTCAAGCAAAAATAATATTCGAAGATTGCTGGGTATTATTAGATTATTATTTGAAAATCGCACCCCTCCCCCACATGCACGCGGCTAGATTCGTTAGGTTAGTTAGGTTCGTAAGGTTAGTTAGGTTAGTGTGCTCACTGTACCACATGCGTGTATAGGCTACACACCAGAGCATGTGAGCGGAGCGGTGTGATGCTTAATTGTAACTTAAAGAGCATATTGCAGGTAAAAAAAACTAAATTAATATATAACCTTGTATGAAAATACCATATGAAAAGATAATGCAGGATTTAAAATGTTTCTTAATAAGCTTTTTTTTCAAAATCACGTCATTTTACGTCACGAGTGCCTCAGCCTCGGCTCAGTGCAGAGTAGGCTGGTATTCAGTGAGAGCGGCCGTGAGTCAGTGTGTTTTCGGTAGTTTTTGTATTTTAATTTATCATCGTCATGGTAAATTATTGTTTGTGGAGGTTGCAAAAACTCCGGCCTGTCAGGACATCGAGTCCACAGGTTTCCATAACAAGAAAAGGGACGGTGCTATGCTATATATCTTTCGTGCCTGGTGCGGTGTGTGCAGGTGAAGAGACGGGATTTCTCTTCCGCATCGGCTTCGAGAAACGCGGTCGTGTGTAGCTTTCACTTCAGATCGGAGGATTATCATCCCGGCGATATGATGGAGTTCAACATGGGATGCCGAAGCAAAAATATTGATCGTCTAATACTGTACCAATGGCATGAAATAGTGTGATATAGGTAGTCATGCCCTAAATAGAGGCAACAAAATTACTCAGGTTGTTTAAATATTCAAATCTTTAATTTTCTGTTTATGTTATAACCCAGGTGAAAAATATGTATTAAAAATGTACTTGGGTATGTTTTTAGTACAATAGAAATATACTCAAGTATAGTTTTTATACATTTTATAGTATAAATCTACCCTAAACATACTAATGTCTGCTGGCCTGATATACGATGGTAATAATCTGTACAATTATTGTGAGCACCGTGTATATCGTTAGCGAACGTGTATATCTATAAGCACGTCTCTCACCAAGCACCTATCTTGTTCTCCACTGGTTCTCATAACACAACTCAATTTGTCTCTGACATTTGTCCTGTCCTGTCCTGCTCTCTTGGCAGCATAGCAGGCTCATAATTGTATGGCTGTGGTCTGTCATACGAGTAAGTATTTCCTCAGCGTCCGAAATGTCATTGCGATCCATTGTTTTCCTGTTGTTTGAATCGACCACTCTCCCGCCCGTTACGTCACGCCCGCCACGCCCATTTTCAGACGCGGAAGTAAAATTTTCTCACAAAAACGACTCCAGAAGCTTCTGTAGCGTATTTATAAGTATATTTTAAAGAAAATCTAGTTCCTACATTATTTTTCTATACATTGACTCGTTGGGTCCTCTAACCTGCAATATGCCCTTTAAACTTAAACATAGGCCTACATTTCATATTTATGTTTAAATAATATAATGTTGTTGTTTTTTATTTCATCTATATTGATAATATGAAAAGGGAACCACATGAGATGAGTAAGATAGGATCATAAGATGCCCAATATATCGGGAGACAGATTTGGAGTGGGTCAGACATGATTTTGGCCACTTAATGAAGTTTTGTTTTGTAGAAAGCCTTTCTTTAAAGTGAATTTCGTTTTGTATAAATTGTATTTTAATCAATGTTTCATCAACCAATTGCCTGGATGTAATAAATAAGAAGCAATTATAGCAGACAATATAATCAGGACACGGAGGCGCCGGCGCGTGAACTGGAGCGCGTCTCATAAATGAATCGAAACTCAGCATATAAGCTACTTGCCTCACAGACCTGAGAAATATATCTATAGATAAATATATAATATATAAATGTCTATTTTTAAACAAAACAATTAAAGAAATGGGCTACTCTGTGTATGTAGGCTAATGTATGAAGTGTGCATTTCTCTCTATTGGCGCGTTCACTACTGCGAAGATGGCGAGTCAGCATCGTCAACTTTATCTTTGCAGCCGACACTGACACAGAAAACACTAGTTTATTAATAATTAAAATTTCTCATGCATAATCATTACTTTTGCAAGTTTTATGCGTGCGCTTGAGATGCGGAATTGGCAATATATTACGAAAACGCTCATTATGGTTTAGTATTCTCTCCCATAATATAGTCAAGTAATTAAATTAATATAAATATGCGATTGGACTAATTTCTTAAATGAACTACTACTAGTCGACTAGACAAAAAACTTTAGTCGTGCACAGGCAGCCCTACTTCACTACTTCACATATTATCTAACCAGCATGTAAAGAAGGGCATTCTGAGTAAGCGGAGCAGAATCTCCAGAAAGCCGCTCTCACTCTGGAGGAAATATTAGCACTCCGCTCACGTGCTCTGGTGTGAGACAATGTGTGTCATCTTCTGTTGTCTGAGAGTTGATTGACATCTTTTAGATGCGTTATTGGCAGCGTCACTCTCTGGTTACATGAACCTGTCACCACCGCATCAGAACCGAAAACATGAGGATTAAAAAAAAAAAAAACAATTATCGCACAACCTATTCGATATTCTATAATAAAATCAACTAATTGAATATTCAACAATTGTGACTCATCCCTACTATGTTGTTGTAATATCAAGTTTTCATATGGTTTTATATTTTGTCTAGTACATACTCTTTACTGTCCATTGATTCCAACATTCCCAGAATTTCTGCCCACACAAATAATGTCAGGATAACAGAATTGATTTATTTTGTCATTTATTTTCATTTAACTCTGCCCCACCACTCTTCAGGGATGTACATGCGTCTTTAGTGAGTGCTGTTATGTTTGATTTTCTCAGGTTCCAGTGCTGGCGCAGGCAGTGGTGAATTCCATGTGTATAGACATCTGCGCCGTCGAGAGTATCAGAGACAAGACTTCCTGGAGCGAATATCTGACAAGGTAGAGTTATTTTTGCCTAAAGCACATGTAGGAGACAAAATAAATGATTGTTCAACCACTAGATGGCGGTGTGGACCAGTGGTGTAGGTGTAGGTCACCGGTTCAATATCACATGATGTTTAACTTACGAGGTTGTATCAGGGGGGACAGGTGATGGGAACGAATGGTTCCATGGGCTTTTAAACCAGTAGCCTAAATTATATTTTTGTGTGGACATTGTTTTTTCCAAACTATGAGTGAAGAACATCTTACTACCTTGCCCTGGCTTATTGGAAAGCCACTACAGCATATGATTATTAACTAGAAATTGCTTTACAGTGTATGCATGTCACTAGTTCAGTTTACACTAGTGATGTCACTAAGGGTGTATTCACACCTGCCTTGTTTGGTTCGATTGAATCGAACTCTAGTTCGTTTCCCCCCTTGGTGCGGACCTTTTGGGCAGGTGTGAATACAGCAATCGAACTCGGGTGCGGACCAAACAATCGAACCGAGACCCAGCTGAAGAGGTGGTCTCGGTACGGTTCCAAACGAGCTCTGGTACGGTTCGTTTACGGTGTGAATATGAACCGACCCAATTGCAAGAAAGCACTGCTCTGTGAACATAGCCCCTCTCTATGAATGAAAACTTTATACCTTATCCGTCTTCTGCGCAGTGCCACTGTCAGCATGTAGGCGCACATGAGAGCATGTTCTCTCTGCCGGAACCGTCTTGCAGCACATCGTCGTCTTCTCAAAATCCGAATTACAACATCGTATAGATGACATTGTGTCATATGATACTCATTAGTTTCTTCATATTGCGTTTATACAGAATAACACAAAATTAGTAAAAGAACAAAAATTGCAGTACGAAATATCTCCATGCTGAGCCCTTTTTGCACTTCCTGATTTCCCTACTTGAGAATCCTTGTCCAATGAATGGACAACCTTAGCACACGTGTGGTTTTGTTTACAAATTTTGGTTCACTTCCAAAAAGAGCAGTGTGAAAGCGAACCGTACCAAAAAAAAACAAACCAAAGCAAGCGAACTATCGGACTTTCCTGGTGTGAATACACCCTAAGAATTCTTTTGGTAATCGAGTAATTGGTCGATTATTTTGACGATTAATCGAGTAATCAGATGAACAACAGTTTACAAAGTCTCCTGTGTTGGCTTAGATGTATAAATGAAGTTATGAATCTGGTGAAATGGCACACACTGTGTACCTAGATGAACATTATAAGCAACCCAAACATATGCAGGGATGGAATGCAGTTCTACCTGTTATTTGTAGTGGATTAAATAACTGAATTTGGGTGTGGCGTCAGTAGCGGTGGATCTTCTCTTCTCTCAAGCTCTGGGTTCAGACAGAGGATGCACATTTTGCTGTTGCTGTGACAATCAATATTGAGTTGAGTTTGCCTGTGTAATGTTTATATGTGAGTAAAAGACTACATTAAATCTGTTCTTTATTATATAAAGCAGTCGTGTCTCTTCAGAAGACTTTAAACCGCTCTATTAAAATAAAATGGGTTACACTTTATTTAAAGGTGGCATTGTTTGTGTAATTATGTGTTTAAGTACTAAGTAATATTAAGTAACTACATGTACTTACTATAGGATTAGGGTAAGATTAGGATTTGGTTGAGGATTAGTTGCATGTAATTATGCATAATTTACTGTTATTACTATGTTAAGTACATGTAACAAGGACAGTGTAAAATAAAGTGTTACCATAAAATGTTAAGTATTTATGGGGTCTGTTTTCAAGAGTAAAAAAATATATATATTTCAAGATGGAGTATAACTAATATTGGTTCAAATTTCATTTCTTTCACGTTTGCAGCAAAAGCTGGATGAAGATTATATTGCGAAGGTGAAAGAAAACCAAGAGGCTGCTGTGGAAAGGACAGCCAAACGCAGAAAGAAGAGGTTTGCCAAATACCGTCTTGTTTGATTCAGATTTATAGAATCTCTAGATTCTTAATTTCTCTCTTGTGTTTCTAAATCTCAATTGTTCAATTGGTCTCATTTAGGGAAAAGTTGAAGCAAAAGAAGTTGATGGCAAAGAAAGCCAAGATGGAGAGCCAGAAAGAAGGTTAGAGATAATAAAATACATTTTTCACTCCCTTGGTCATGTTCTGTGGTATTACTGAATTTAATTTTTTTATTTGAGCTAAAACAGGAAGGTATCTTATATAAGCAGTAAATATTATATAATTCTTATATTAATAATAGTTAACAGTTAATTGATTTGGCAAAAGGCCAAATAAATCCTCTATGCTTCAGTGTTGTAACATCATGAATGTGAATATTTAATATAGCCACTGTATTTATTACTGCTGTTTTTGATTGACACCTCGAGTTTAGGTAATTTCATCTTTCATCTAAGCGGTGTTTGTGTCAGCAGGCTCAGAGTCGTCGTCGTCATCTTCGGCTTCTGAAGCAGAGGAACGAGATGATGATGCAGAAGTGCCCAGCTTCATCATGGGGAAGAGGTGAACGAATGAAGGAATGGAAATATCCAGCATATATTACCATGTGATGCCAAAAACACCTCAAGCAGAGAACAATTATCAAATCGTGTTCTGACAACACTGTTTGAAATGTTTCAGAAGTGCTCTGGCATCCTTTCTGGTTGATGTTAAACGCTTGAGGTTGATATGTTCTGATGTTCAACACTTGACTTGGACCTTTGAAAGGCTGTATGTTTTTCTTCACTGGAGTGTCGATAAAATAATTTGGTAATGCTTTACTTGAAGCCTTCATATATAATGCATTTTAAAAGTGTTTTTAAAGCATTAATTATGCTTGTAATGGACCTTAATCTTTTTAATAATTGAAATCTCAGTTATAATATCCTAATACTTATCTATTCATTGAACACACCTTTAGAAAAGGTTGCATTGAAAAACACGACAAACAATACTTTGGTTACAATTATTTTTGAAAAGATATAATTCTGTATAATGCACTATAAATGTATTCATAGTGCACATTATAATGAAATGCTTTAAGTTAAGTGTTACCAATAATTTGACCAGGATTGACTTTTATTCTGTTGTAAATATGTATTTTTTTAAATAAACCGCAAAGGGAATAGTTGTGTTTGTCGTTTAATGAAACATTTTGTGGCTGCTGGAAATTCAGCTTTGCAATTACTGGAATAATGACATTTTAAAAGAGACAGTTATTTTAAAATGTAATATCTTACAATATTACTGTTTTAACTACTGGTTTTTTTTATCAAACAACAATGTGGCATTGAGTATGAGAGACTTTTTTTTTAAACAATCTTTTTTATGCATTATATATACACTCACCGGCCACTTTATTAGGTACCCCATGCTAGTAACGGGTTGGACCCCCTTTTGCCTTCAGAACTGCCTCAATTCTTCGTGGCATAGATTCAACAAGGTGCTGGAAGCATTCCTCAGGGAGTTTGGTCCATATTGACATGATGGCATCACACAGTTGCCGCAGATTTGTCGGCTGCACATCCATGATGCGAATCTCCCGTTCCACCACATCCCAAAGATGCTCTATTGGGTTGAGATCTGGTGACTGTGGAGGCCATTTTAGTACAGTGAACTCATTGTCATGTTCAAGAAACCAATTTGAAATGATTAGAGCTTTGTGACATGGTGGAAGTAGCCATCAGAGGATGGGTACATGGTGGCCATAAAGGGATGGACATGGTCAGAAACAATGCTCAGGTAGGCCGTGGCATTTAAACGATGCCCAATTGGCACTAAGGGGCCTAAAGTGTGCCAGGAAAACATCCCCCACACCATTACACCACCACCACCAGCCTGCACAGTGGTAACAAGGCATGATGGTTCCATGTTCTCATTCTGTTTACGCCAAATTCTGACTCTAACATCTGAATGTCTCAACAGAAATCGAGACTCATCAGACCAGGCAACATTTTTCCAGTCTTCAACTGTTCAATTTTGGTGAGCTCTTGCAAATTGTAGCCTCTTTTTCCTATTTGTAGTGGAGATGAGTGGTACCCGGTGGAGTCTTCTGCTGTTGTAGCCCATCCGCCTCAAGGTTGTGCGTGTTGTGGCTTCACAAATGCTTTGCTGCATACCTCGGTTGTAACGAGTGGTTATTTCAGTCACTGTTGCCCTTCTATCAGCTCGAACCAGTCTGGCCATTCTCCTCTGACCTCTGGCATCAACAAGGCATTTCCGCCCACAGAACTGCCGCTCACTGGATATTTTTTCTTTTTCGGACCATTCTCTGTAAACCCTAGAGATGGTTGTGCGTGAAAATCCCAGTAGATTAGCAGTTTCTGAAATACTCAGACCAGCCCTTCTGGCACCAACAATCATGCCACGTTCAAAGTCACTCAAATCACCTTTCTTCCCCATACTGATGCTTGGTTTGAACTGCAGGAGATTGTCTTGACCATGTCTACATGCCTAAATGCACTGAGTTGCCGCCATGTGATTGGCTGCTTAGAAATTAAGTGTTAACGAGCAGTTGGACAGGTGTACCTAATAAAGTGGCCGGTGAGTGTATATATATACAGGTCCTTCTCAAAAAATTAGCATATTGTGATAGTTCATTATTTTCCATAATGTAATGATAAAAATTAAACTTTCATATATTTTAGATTCATTGCACACCAACTGAAATATTTCAGGTCTTTTATTGTTTTAATACTGATGATTTTGGCATACAACTCATGAAAACCCAAAATTCCTTCTTCAAAAAAAGAAGTCAACCTTCAAATAATTATGTTCAGTTATGCACTCAATAGTCAATACTTGGTCGGGAATCCTTTTGCAGAAATGACTGCTTCAATGCGGCGTGGCATGGAGGCAATCAGCCTGTGGCACTGCTGAGGTGTTATGGAGGCCCAGGATGCTTCGATAGCGGCCTTAAGCTCATCCAGAGTGTTGGGTCTTGCGTCTCTCAACTTTCTCTTCACAATATCCCACAGATTCTCTATGGGGTTCAGGTCAGGAGAGCTGGCAGGCCAATTGAGCACAGTAATACCATGGTCAGTAAACCATTTACCAGTGGTTTTGGCACTGTGAGCAGGTGCCAGGTCGTGCTGAAAAATGAAATCATCTCCATAAAGCTTTTCAGCAGATGGAAGCATGAAGTGCTCCAAAATCTCCTGATAGCTAGCTGCATTGACCCTGCCCTTGATAAAACACAGTGCACCAACACCAGCAGCTGACATGGCACCCCAGACCATCACTGACTGTGGGTACTTGACACTGGACTTCAGGCATTTTGGCATTTCCTTCTCCCCAGTCTTCCTCCAGACTCTGGCACCTTGATTTCCGAATGACATGCAAAACTGAGCAACAGTCCAGTGCTGCTTCTCTGTAGCCCAGGTCAGGCGCTTCTGCCGCTGTTTCTGGTTCAAAAGTGGCTTGACCTGGGGAATGCGGCACCTGTAGCCCATTTCCTGCACACGCCTGTGCACGGTGGCTCTGGATGTTTCTACTCCAGACTCAGTCCACTGCTTCCGCAGGTCCCCCAAGGTCTGGAATCGGTCCTTCTCCACAATCTTCCTCAGGGTCCGGTCACCTCTTCTCGTTGTGCAGCGTTTTTTGCCACACTTTTCCCTTCCCACAGACTTCCCACTGAGGTGCCTTGATACAGCACTCTGGGAACAGCCTATTTGTTCAGAAATTTCTTTCTGTGTCTTACCCTCTTGCTTGAGGGTGTCAATGATGGCCTTCTGGACAGCAGTCAGGTCGGCAGTCTTACCCATGATTGCGGTTTTGAGTAATGAAACAGGCTGGGAGTTTTTAAAAGCCTCAGGAATCTTTTGCAGGTGTTTAGAGTTAATTAGTTGATTCAGATGATTAGGTTAATAGCTCGTTTAGAGACCCTTTTCATGATATGCTCATTTTTTGAGACAGGAATTTTGGGTTTTCATGAGCTGGATGCCAAAATCATCAGTATTAAAACAATAAAAGACCTGAAATATTTCAGTTGGTGTGCAATGAATCTAAAATATATGAAAGTTTAATTTTTATCATTACATTATGGAAAATAATTAACTTTATCACAATATACTAATTTTTTGAGAAGGACCTGTATATATATATATATATTTCAGGGCTTAAAGTATTCCGGCACCGTGCCGGATCTCCGGCGTGCGGCCGTGAGGAAAAAATGATTATTTTCGCATGCGATCGCAGCATCCGTTCTTTTTGTCATCCTTTAGCTAGGGTTATGACCATGTTCTTATTCACGCAAATGCTTTAAACCACTCATGCGCGACAAGACAAAAGAGAACGCGCTGTCAGTGAATGTCCTCCTGACACACGCGCGCGCACACACACGACGCACAGAAAGACGCGCGCCAGTATCGAGTTCTCTTTCGCGCTTGAACGAACAATAACACACACATTTATGCCAAAATGTCAGTTTTGTCGAGCATCCTCACAAGAACAGTCTTAAATTAGTTAAATAAAATCTTAAATGGAAGTAAATAGTAGTGAGAGAATGAGATGCATGAGATCCTGTCAGCAGCGACAGATCTTAAAGTGACAGGAGCCATTAATTCTGAATGTCAGTAAAGTTAACCTAAAGAACAAAGGGAACAGAGAAAATTACTAACTGCTCTTGACTTGTAGCTTTGATAAGGATTAATCTATATTTCATTTATAATTGATGCAGTGCGGACTGTTTTATAACCTTATTCAATTTCTGTATGGTACAGGTAAATGACATTTATTAGGGGTTTAAGTGAGGATTGTTTTAAATTCACTTAAATTAAAGGTTTTTTATATTTTTTGAAGCCTAATGTTTAAAATTTTGGGGGAAATCATTTTCATCGAGACATCAGTAGCTATAATATTAGTGATACTGGCTTTCATTTATAAAAAGATGGCATTAAGATACAGCTTTAATACTTGAAAATAAATGGTGCCACTGAAGATAAGTCCATCCGTATATATATATGTAAATATATAATGGGTCCAAAAGTCTTAGTCTGAGACCAGAAAATTTTAACCTGAAAAAATATTTTTTGCAAATCCTGTAGTTATGCTGTTTCTCTGACCTCATTTATGGAGACACATCATAATAATAGATATAATAGTTTACTTTATTTTTTTTATAAAAAGTACACACATGCCCAGTTAAAGTGGCAAAATATGATTTTTTTTTAAAACAAAGTTCATTTGAGGATTTTGACACAAATGGTCTCTAATTTCTAATGTTTAACTTTCATCTAAATGCGCAATAATCTCAGCATAAACAAAATATTAATAATAACAAAATACTGAAAGGACTAGCAGTGTAACTGTTCATTAGTCACTAATGAACCTTGTTGTCATGTATACCACATTTCTTAAATGCAGAGTATTTATAAAAAGAGCAGCGCTACTTCTCTCCACTCTGTAAATACTGTTAATAGCCATAGTTCATAGTCTAATTCACCACTATGAAGTTATGGATATTGTATTATTACTATGTCATGATTTCAACTCACCAGTTCAGTCTTTGCTAATATTATATATTCTGAATTTTACACATTCACATATAGGCGTTTAACAGAAAGAGAACTTTAGAGAAAATGTCAATGACGTCTGACCATAAACAAGTTGATATGCTTCATGACTAATCTGGTCTGGTTGAGCTGGTTTTACCTCAGACAAACCCAATTTTGTATATTATAACAGTTTCTGGGGTTGCAGAATATGCTTAGTTTGTCAAAGAAAACCAATATGATTGTGTAAATATATTTTATTTTTTTCATGCTCAAGTTATTAATTAATGTTCTTCCCAAAGGACATAAGGAATTAAGAACTGCTTGTATTATTATTGATATATTGTATGAGTAAACTCCACGCCCCTGCTTTTGGATATCATGTCAATGCACGTCATGTGATTGTTTTGTGAGAATGGGGTTCGTTAACTTTAACATTACTCATTCAAACAGCATTCGTCCGACTTCTTTATT